ATGGTTCTCATGTATTTTCATATGATATCTGTGGAAGTTATGTTCGCTACACGCTCACAGACGTAAATAGTATGACCTTCAAACCCTGATCCACACTTAGTCTTACAGTACACTAGTCCGGCTCAACTGGACTTAAACATTCATCTTATGGATACCCTGAGTTCTCCTTAATGCTATGAATACATACAATTAATATGATATAACTGTACCTGGGTACAATACAACACATGGTCTAGGAACACTGAGTAGGTGAGTTGTCCTTTATCAATGTTTCCCGTTTTCTGAGGTTCTACAAGCGGTGGATTTGAATGTTATATAGCGTAATATGAATTAAATGGGGTTTTTAGGAATGACAATGATGTGCGCAGTACACCATGATGTGTCATCATCCCTGAATGTAGGAAAAAAGTCACAAACCTTAACCTAACTTAACATTATTTAGGCTGTTTAAAAGATGTGTTTATATCCCTGACTTTTTCTAACCCCAATTGTGACTTTCTTTCCGGACACCTGAGCTCATCCCTCCCCCTGAACAGAAGACGTCATCATAAGTGAGGAACAACTCTCCTGGCACTGAAACTTTGGATGATAAAGTACATCCTCTCTACAGGAAGTTAGTTGACTCAATATGACACATGTATACAGACGACTCAAGAAGTATTGTGTTATTATACATGAACATTAATTATTTAATAAAAAAAACGATTAAAACCTTTGGTAAATAAACAAAATACAGAAAAAAATAAAGGTGATTTAGCACCAGCACATAAACCATCGAGCAGTGAGATGATTGTAGGCATATTAACAATGTTTTAGGTTTTATTTTAGTCTTTAGTAAATTATCTTTGTGTTTGTTATTATTTTCTATCCCAAGCAACAGTTACTTTCATATATATAATGATGGGAATGAACGCGGTGACGAAACGGGTAGAGCAGTGGTGACGAAACGGGCAGACCCCATTTATGTTTTATGTAGAAGAAAGTAAAAAAATAAATAACTGTATAATACAAACACTTTTATCACCCAATATAGGAGCATAAAACAATAAAATAATACACAGATCAAGTTATGAAATAATAAAAGAATATTTACTTTTATCCTCTTGGCAGTACAGCTCAAACACTGATTCATTTATAAAAGTCAACCTTGGCAAATTAATTTAAACTCATAGCACTAATTTTCATAGCCGAGATGTACCGTAACAGAGACTAATGAATATATATGTAAAATTATCGGCCAAAGAAAGTATATAAAGTACTTTCCTTGGTACTGGGGGGAGGGGTGGATGGGAGCTGATCAGTGTTATAATATTACCGCGAACTAGCTTATTTATTGCTTAACTTCAACTAACTAATTAAACCTAACATAACTACCTGATGATAGTTAATTATTACTCAGTGTTACTATAACTACCTGATGATAGTTTATTACTTAGTGTCGCGATAACTACTTGTTGATAGTTTATTATTACCTAGTATCCAGTTTATAATACAATAATAAGTAGAAGTAATACAATTATTTAAAAGTGTATCAGTAGTAGAGTAAAGTTTGTTTTTCAGATAATATTAAGTAAATAATAATTGTTTAAACTATGTGATGTTAGTTTATATTATTATATTAGGTAAAGTTGAGTTGTTCGTGGTAAGTTATTAACAGTGTTCATCGCCTCACTTGTAAACATTAAGTCGACCAAAATGTGTTAATTAAAATACAAACTTGGAGGATTTAATACTTCACTACGTCACTGTGAGTTGTTTATTAACTTATATATAGCCAAGGTGAACCGTGGTACTTTAGTAAGACGTGTTACCTGTCTAGTACAGTACTGTCTGTTGTACAGTACTGTCTGTTGCTGGGTAATGTGTGTCACTACCACCAGTTGTTTGATCATTATTGGTGCACATGGAGAGTGTAGGGACAGTGTCACTACTGTTGTTGTTAAAACAGACTCAGTCAGCCAGCGGCCTTACTTGATGGAGAGTCACCACCAACACATGTTACCAGAAGCAACACCCACTAACACCAGCTGAGTCACCACCAACACATGTTACCAGAAGCAACACCCACTACTGCAACACTTAACACCAGCTGAGTCACCACCAACACATGTTACCAGAAGCAACACCCACTAACACCAGCTGAGTCACCACCAACACATGTTACCAGAAGCAACACCCACTAACACCAGCAGAGTCACCACCAACACATGTTACCAGAAGCAACACCCACTACTGCAACACTTAACACCAGCTGAGTCACCACCAACACATGTTACCAGAAGCAACACCCACTACTGCAACACTTAACACCAGCTGAGTGTCACTGAGTCACCACCAACACGTGTTACCAGAAGCAACACCCACTACTGCAACACTTAACACAAGCTGAGAGTCACCGAGTCACCACCAACACATGTTACCAGAACCAACACCCACTACTGCAACACTTAACACCAGCTGAGAGTCACTGAGTCACCACCAACACATGTTACCAGAAGCAACACCCACTGCTGCAACACTTAACACCAGCTGAGAGTCACTGAGTCACCACCAACACATGTTACCAGAAGCAACACCCATTACTGCAACACTTACCACCAGCTGAGAGTCACTGAGTCACCACCAACACATGTTACCAGAAGCAACACCCACTACTGCAACACTTAACACCAGCTGAGAGTCACTGAGTCACCACCAACACATGTTACCAGAAGCAACACCCACTAGTGCAACACTTAACACCAGCTGAGAGTCACTGAGTCACCACCAACACATGTTACCAGAAGCAACACCCACTACTGCAACACTTAACACCAGCTGAGAGTCACTGAGTCACCATCAACACATGTTACCAGAAGCAACACCCACTAACTGCACCACTTAACACCAGCTGAGAGTCACTGAGTCACCACCAACACATGTTACCAGAAGCAACACCCACTACTGCAACACTTAACACCAGCTGAGAGTCACTGAGTCACACCAACACATGTTACCAGAAGCAACACCCACTACTGCAACACTTAACACCAGCTGAGAGTCACTGAGTCACCACCAACACATGTTACCAGAAGCAACACCCACTACTGCAACACTTAACACCAGCTGAGAGTCACTGAGTCACCACCAACACATGTTACCAGAAGCAACACCCACTACTGCAACACTTAACACCAGCTGAGAGTCACTGAGTCACCACCAACACATGTTACCAGAAGGAACACCCACTACTGCAACACTTAACACCAGCTGAGAGTCACTGAGTCTCCACCAACACATGTTACCAGAAGCAACACCCACTACTGCAACACTTAACACCAGCTGAGAGTCACTGAGTCACCACCAACACGTGTTACCAGAAGCAACACCCACTACTGCAACACTTAACACCTGCTCAATATTAAACAAATTTAAAAACGTTTTAATTTCACTGTTTTGTAGTGAACACTGTCCCAGTTATGTAAAATGTGTTAAAACTTGGTTATTTCTAAATTAAACGTGACGTAGCCTAACCTAACCTAACCTAACCATATTTGATAACAAAAGCAAGTGGCAGAATCATTGTTAGAAGACCTTGCCAACCTAACCAAACCAAACCAAACCTAACCTAACCTAACCTAACCTAACCTAACCTAATTATATTTGATGACAAAAGAAAGTGGCAGAAGCATTGTTAGAAGACCTTGCCATCCTAACCAAACAAACTTGATCTAACCTAACCTAACCTAACCTAACCTTTCAGAACCCCCGGCATATTAAACAGAAAGAACTTCCTATTATATGGTGTAATTTGACGTTTTTTGTGGACCTGAGAGCAGCCGCCTGATCTGTGTGGCTCATAAACCTACACTGGTGACTGGCGTTGAGTGGAGATGATTGGCTGTGTACCGCCGCATTACCACCGAGAAAGACAAGTGATGTGCGCCAGACAAAGTAGTTCTCGCCTAGTCACCTAATTATCTACCAAACGAAGCAATTACCCTAAAAATTATTATTATATCAAAACTTATTGATGAAAATATAATATCGTACAGTATAGTTAATATGACTTACAAACTTGAGACAGCAATAGTTGGAGGTAGTGAACGGCTGCCTCTCACCTCTCCACCTGGTGTAACACAACACACTATGTGAAATATTACTTATAGTACATTTTGTTTCTCCATCTAGTTGTCTCTCTGTCTATAGTTGTCCACCTGTCAATAGGCCCAAATTCAGGACGGTAGTTTGAGCCTGGGATTTGAGCTCGACTTGGGTGTGCGAATCGGGATTCCTTGAGCCTAGATTTCTTGCAGTGGATTATTACCCATATTCAGAACATCGGCTTGAACCCCGGATCTGGTAATCTGTTCCGTTTTTTTCTTCAGTTACGAGCAAAGTTACTTTTATTATTATAATTATGGTCAAATTATAATGATTTATGGTACTGTGTTACAACCTGGCTGTGATGTCAGATGATAACAAAGAAATTCATAGAGGAAGAACAATTATATACAATTGTTGACATAATCCAGGACCGGCATCAATATTCATTACCAAAACAAGATGAATCAATACTGGGCGTAGTAACCCGGCTAGGTTTGGTTAGGTTAGGTTTTTTCTCTCAACATTGATTCAATTATACAGTAAAGCCTCTGTTAACAAGTAGCATCCTGTGTACCGTGGGCTGGTGTCTTGCCCACAGTGTGGATGTGGGTCACACTATAATAACCCATTATAGTACATCCTTCTTTCCTCACACTGTTGAATGCTCTGCCTTCTTCTGTGTTTCCATACAATCTGTCTCACTCTAAACAAGATGCTTCTCTGGCGGTGTACATTGATATAACCTTTGGCCGGGTGGGTTGGTGACCTGTGGCCGGGTGGGTTGGTGACCTGTGGCCGGGTGGGTTGGTGACCTGTGGCCGGGTGGGTTGGTGACCTGTGGCAGTGGGTTAGTGATGTGGCAGGAGTAGGTTGGTGACCTGGCGGAGTGGGTTGGTGACCTGTGGCCAGGTGGGTTAGTGACCTAATGGCCGGAGTGGGTTGGTGATGACCTGGCAGGTGGGTTGTTGACCTGTGGCCAGGTGAGTTGTTGACCTGTGGCAGGTGGGTTGTTGACCTGTGGCGGGGTGGGTTGGTGACCTGCCAGTGGTTGGTGACCTGTAGCCGGGTGGGCTTCTGTTGACCTGTGGCGGAGTGGGCTGAGTGACCTGTGGCCGGGTGGGCTGGTGACCTGGCAGCAGGTGGGCTGGTGACCTGTGGCAGGGTGGGCTGTTGACCTGTGGCGGGTGGGCTGGTGACCTGTGGCCGGGTGGGCTGGTGACCTGTGGCCGGAGTGGGCTGGTGACCTGTGGCCAGGTGGGCTGGTCTGCCTGTGGCGGGCTGGGCTGGTCACCTGTGGCCGGGTCGGCTGGTGACCTGTGGCCGGGTCGGCTGGTGACCTGTGGCCGGGTCGGCTGGTGACCTGTGGCCGGGTGGGCTGGTGACCTGTGGCCGGGTCGGTTGGTGACCTGTGGCCGGGTTGGGCTGGTGACCTGTGGCCGGGTCGGTTGGTGACCTGTGGCCGGGTGGGTTGGTGACTTGTGGCTTGTTGGACTATTACCCATAAAAAAAAATATATAAATATACAGTGGGGTATGCTATAACGAATCTAATTGGTTCTAGAACCTTGTTCGTTATAGCATTTGTTCGTTATAGGATTCGCTCGTTCCAGGCCCCCAAATACAACCACTTAACACTGAAAAATATAATATTAAATTGTAAAAATTGTAAAAAAGTGCATGCATATGCATCTAAACCCCTGAAATAAAGACTATCATTAATACTTGTAATAAAAATCAATAAATTAGTGAGAAAAATTTTTTTAAATAATGTTCGTTGTAGCAGTTTCGTTCGTTATAGCATTCTCAATTTTATAGGTAAAACCGTTTGTTATAGGAATATTCGTAGTAGGATCCGTTCGTTATAGCATACCCCACTGTATATATAGCCTGTGTTCCGGCTTATGAATGTCTTCACATAACCTAACCTAACCATTCTTCATTAAAACTTAAATATTCACAATTTCCTTCAATCAACAACTCTTCACTGACTTACTGTGCAGTGAGAGTAGAATGGGTGAAGCTTTTATCCCTCACAACTCTTAAAAGATATTCAGAAATATATTCATTATGCACAATACACTAATTGATATGTGTATATTACATAACTGTAAACGCCTTGGTTAAGGTCGTTCAGGTGACGGGCAAGTCGAAGGGAATGATTGAAACTCTCCTTTTGACTCATTCAATATTTATTGATGTGCTCAAAACCTACAGAGGAGATGTTCATAATATTACATGGTGGTCCATCTGATACATAATGAGTTAGTCTCACACAATTTTTTCTTAATTACTATTTATTAAACATAGTGACATAACACAAAGTTCATAACTCTAGTAATCTTAGTTATGCTTCATTCTGCATTGTCTTATTACTCCAGATAAGGCAGAAACGAGTAGGTGTAATTAGTCAACAATATTTCAGTACCGAGGGGTATGTCATCACTTGGCTGTACTTACAAGTGCAGGTCAATGCAGATCAGTATGTTGTTCCAAGAGACAACAGTACTGAGTAAATTGTCCCAACACAAATTCTCAGACAGGATTATGAGTCGGTGTTCATCAGTGCCAGCAGAAGGCTGGTCTTCACAGCCTCACGAGAGTGAGCGATCTGTCTCATGGCGGGGCGGGCACCACCACCACCCGCCGAAGACAGTCCACTCAGCAGAGCCAGGACTTGTCTGTAAACACTTCTACATCTGGC